TCCCCATTAAAATACCAACGACATATTTCACAGACCTAGAACAAACTTTCCAAAAATTCATCTGGAATAAAAAATGACCCTGAATAGCTACAGCAATCCTGAGAAAGAAGAACAAAGTAGGTGGGATCTCAATACCAGATATCAAGCTGTATTATATTATAACGTAAAATAATCTCTGCCCTTTCCTATGGGAGAATTATACGCCAAACTTATTAGTTTCTGTCTTACGCATAACTAGTTTTGGCCAATAAAAATGGGCAGAAATCATGTGTGTCACTGATGAGTAGAAACTTCCAGAGCCATTGTCTTTCTTTTACTGTTCCCTTTTTCTTCTGCCATGAGACTGGAAATGTCCAAAATGGGGGTTGTTCCTTCATCCTGTGACCCAGAATAAAGGTAAGTTGCATTTAGTCCATGATGGACATGCAATACAGCAAAAACAAAACTTTTGTTGAAGTCGCTGACATGTAGGGGGTTATTTGATACTGCCGCCAAATTTAATAAGAAATGTCTGACATAGGGACAATAGAAAGGGGCAATATAAAGGGTTATTTGTCCCCATAGAGTGTGGGTAAAATTAACAAGGAACACATTGTTAACTTGAAAGCACCACAAATTCCATACATTTGAAGAAGAATATGACTTTTGGAAGTCAAAAACTATTAGCTTTCTCTCTTATTCACTTGCTGTTTGTATTCAAAGGCTATCCTTGCCTTTGTTGATGTCTCCTACCATTAACCAAAAAAATTGTCTCTCTAGCCATCCCTCATTACTCTTCTTAGGCAAAGACTCAGTTAAAATCCATTATGTCAGCATTTCTCTCTTTCAAGGAACACTGTTAACTTGAAAGCACCACAAATTCCATACATTTGAAGAATATGACTTTTGGAAGTCAAAAACTATTAGCTTTCTCTCTTATTCACTTGCTGTTTGTATTCAAAGGCTATCCTTGCCTTTGTTGATGTCTCCTACCATTAACCAAAAAAATTGTCTCTCTAGCCATCCCTCATTACTCTTCTTAGGCAAAGACTCAGTTAAAATCCATTATGTCAGCATTTCTCTCTTTATCTTATAAAAAAAACAACTCCTTATAAGATTTTTTTTTCAGTGTTTCATGTCATTTATTTGAAAAGATGCCGAACGTATTCCCAGGTACAATTTCTAAACATTCAGGTCCCAAACCTTTAAGATCCACATCTTTCACAGACACAGAGTTTTCATTTCCATACGTTCTGGGCGGCGTCCTTGGCGGTGAGCCGCGCCTGGGTTCTCGGTGGTTCCGCTCTGTTGGCTCGATGCTGTCCAGGCTGCGCTCTGGCTCGTGTTCACCAGGGGAAGCAATGCTGCCTGAGCAGGTGTTTCCTGCCCTTCTTGAGGCACCGCATGCTTCCGGGGCCCGCGCAGTGAGGAACACCTGCTCTGTAAGGGGCTTGCACCCTCTAACTGCAGGCAGAGGACGAGGGAAGGGGTCTGGAGGGTTAAGTAGCCAATAGTCTAACGTGTATTTCTAAAAGCAGGAAGTGAGTGACAGTGTCTGGGACCCGTCAGTACAATTTAGGTTGAGTTTTATGGGAACCGGGAACATGTTTAAACAGGACGAGAAAGAATTAAAAAAAACCCACCAAAATATCATTTTAAGTCCTTAGTTCATAAATCTTCATGAAAACAGTTCCCTTTGGCCTGGCTCACGCGGGGTCCAGAGGCTCCTCCCCCGCTGCAGCTCTGTCACCTCGAGGCAGGAAGGCACCTGTTACAGGTACAGCTTGATGAGCTCGTCGCTGACGGGCCGAGGGTGTCAGCACCCCCAGGTCTGTAAACAGCAGTATGATCAAGGGGCGCGGGGAGGGGCGGTGTAGTCGACCCACGGGTGCTCCTCTCTGAGATCCTGTCCAGTCTGCACAGACCTCAGCGTGTCCGCCTTGTCCTGTGGACACAGCAAGCGCACATTAATCTGCCCGCCATGTGCTCAGGCTCTGCACTGGAGGTGGGGGCTTGGCCTGGCCACTCTCCCCAAACGGGGAGAAGCCAGCTGAGCGGCACACTGCCAAGGGCGCGGCTGCTGTGGTGGGCTGTCACGGCGGGCGCCTGGCCACCAGCCCACAGCATGTGTCCCCTCCCTGTGAGCTGGGCCAATTCCTCCAGACCCGCGAGAGAACCATTCTCAGAGCCCACCCTGTGCGGGCACTGCTCAGCCTGCCCACGCGTGGTCTCGGACCCTCTAACTCTGCCCGTGCCGTTCCCCCTGCACAGGTCACTGAGGTCAGAGCTCAGGAGGACAGGGCTTGCCCACGGGCACACGGGCAGGAAGTGTCAGGGAGCTGATCCAGGCAGCTGACTCTAAGCTGCACCGTTCACCACCAGCCCCTGCCTCTGCACCGTGTCTAGTGCTCAGTAAGCCGGAGGCTGGAAGGCTGAAATTCTGAGGCCCAGTTAGACTCAGTCTCACCGCCACCAATTTATCTTTCTATCCCAACGTCGGAAGGAACAGTCACGGGAAGAGAATAACTCCCTGGCGCATTCTTAGCATTTTTTCAAAGGTTTCAGTTTAGACCCAAATACCCCTTCAAATACGTAAAGCTCTTGCCTTAAACTTGTCTGGGACGTCTTGCTGGTTTAGTGGGAAGAGCCAGACGAACGTGAAACTCTCCGCCACCACGTAGAAGGGCCTGTTCTGTGCTTTGGCGCACTCGGCCACCTGGTTGGTTCCAATCTTGTTAATAACGCCTCCATTTTCAACAACGCCCTCCGCACCCACTATGACAAGGTCCACCTTCTCCATGAGGTAGCCAACAGCGGCGTCCAGGACCACGGGGACGGGGACGGGGACGTTGAGGTGGCACAGGGGCCATTTTCTTACGCCCTGTCTTTGATGAAAGTGTGGCACAGATCTGCAATTTTACTTCTCGCCAGTGATATTCTCCTGAGAAAAAGCTCTCCCCGCTCAATCATGATCTTTTTACACTTGGAGTAATCCGAGTATTCCAGGGGCACGAGGCTGACGAAGCGCAGGAAGAGCTCCCGGCCCAAGGACACGGCCACGGAGGAGTCCACGCCGCACAGGGTTTCAATGGCTCTGGTAAGATTCGCTCTCAGGCCCTGGATCGTCTCCCCTGTATCCCGCTTCAAGAACTCCAGCAGACCAGCAGAGTCCCTATGGCAGCCACGGGCCAAGGCCCTGTCAGGATCTTCTTTCATCTGAGACTTAAGTACTCGATTAACTCCTTGTCGTCCATGGTGCCCTCCGGACCGCGGAGCCCCAGAGCCCGGAGCCGCCCGTGCTTCTGGCTGGCGTCCCGTGACCGCCTCCTTATAAGATTTGAAACCATTTATGAGGCAACCACTATGTGGGATATTCTGCCTTAATGTTTTCTTTATCAATACACTTCATACTTCCGGTCAAGATGGCAAATTAGGTAAACTCTACACTATTCTCCTCCTAAGACTACTTCAAAATCACAACTAAATTATAGAACAGACATCATTGACAACCAGCTGAAGACTAGCTGATCAGAATTCCTGTAACTAAGAATATAAAGAAGCCATATAGAGACTGATAGGAGGGGCGGGTCCCAAAACCATGGAAGAACTTAAAACTTCTATATATAAAGTTTCCTACTTATTTTTATCTGCTCCCACAATGCAAATGATAAAGCATACACATTTAAGCTGAGTATGTTTGTATGTAATTTAAGCAGTGCTACATAAATATTTTAGTATGGTTTATTTCACTACATAGAATAAAGTAGACATCAAACTATGTATCTTTCCCTGTGCCTAGTAAAGTGATTCTACACTAGTTTGCTAAGTGAATGAATAAATACATGGACAATCTCTTTTATGAATTATTAATTCATTGAAGATAAACAATTCAAAGTTGTAAATATTGGATGAATAAACTATGAAGTGCTGAGAAATGAAAACCATCATAGTGTTCTCCCTCTTTGAATCTTACATGAATCTTTGCAGAGTAGGTACTTTACAACTACCTGACCATGTGTTCAAAGCCCTAAACCTCCTTTGATTTCATAGTTGCTATTTCCTGACTCCTCTAAAAGAAAAAAATGTCTCAAACTTTTTTGGTTTCTTTTATTTGAAAATTTTCCCCTTTCATTATATTTCAGTAGGCGTTTGAAAGAAACACCCAAGCTTTGTGGCTATGCTTCACTCTGTACCCTGCCTGCCACTCTAGGCTTGAAAGAAAGCGGCATTGGGGGACTCCTTTCCTTCCGGACTATGGCACTGCTCCCCTGCTCGGTGCTGACACAGCTGACAGTGCTGAGATGATTAAAGGCTCTGGGAATCTATGAAGAGCAGAACACAGGATTTTGAGTGTGTGAACTACTTGTCAAAATTTTATAGTAATTAGAAGCGGAGCTAAGAAAAAAAGAATGTGGCTGCTTAGAACTTGGTGGAATTTCAATGTGATGCATATTTCTTTTGCGATTTTTTTAAGTGGCATGAATTCATTAAGGAAACTCAAAACTTTAAGCTCCACTGGGAGAAAAAAAATTGTGTAGTATCTCAGGTAGTGCCCTTCGGATGGGGCCTCTGCTTGGAAGGGGCCTCTACTTGGTAACCTGGGAGTTGATTAAACTTGAGTACCTACCACCTTATAACCTTTTTCTGGCAGGAAAGTAGTCATATCCACTCTCATTTATTTGATCCCGCAGTCCAGACCCTGTAATAGACAGAGCATAGCCCTGGTGAAGAGCATAGCACTGGCCAGTGTGGCTCAGCTGATTGGAGTATTCATTGTCCTGTGCACTGAAGGCTCACAGGTTTGATTCCTGGTCAGGGCACATACCCAGGTTGTGGGTTTGATCCCTGGTCAGGGGACATATGGGAGGCAACCAATCAATGTTTCTCCCTCTCCTCCCTTCTTCGCTCTGCAATAAATAAATATTCTCAGGTGAATTCTTTTTTAAATGGTACAGAACAGACACTGTATTTGACTGTGTAGGACTGACAACTTCATCAGGTGAATTTTTTTTTTAAATGGTGCAGAACATAGACACTGTATTTGACTGTGTAGGACTGACAACTTCATTAGGACATTTTATCCTAGTCTTTGCTTTGTCAATCACAACTACTGAAATCTTTAAGCTTAATGATCTCCTATTATTAAGAAGTACCAGTATTTACATAATTGTTTATCTGGGAACATGATAGCTCTCTTCATTAATAAATCTAACTGGGCTATAAATATCTTATCTTAAATATTATTCACTTGCCAAAAGAAGAGTTTTGAGGTAAAAATTCCCACTTCAATTAATCCAAGGCAACCTTTTCATTAGGGCAGCCCTAAGTTTTCTATGTGGCTTTGGCCAAAAGAAAGAACTAAAATGCCCAAGTAGGGGGTATATGGTTTAGGAATCACTTTTCCTATTTTAGGGATGTGGCTGGACCATTTATTTTTAAAGTAAGGTAGTTTCTTATCTTCTGGAACCTATAATTTGTTGCCCTGTTTACAGTCAGGGAGCATCAGGTGACATGTTTATTTTGCTTCATGTGACTGTATAATAAAACGAAGTATGGTAGCAATCATCTCAGGTAGAAACTGTAGTTTAACTTTAACCCTGCTGTTTGGCTTCTGTACTGATTTGCCTGCTAAAATAATAGAAAAGTTATTTTGATTTTCTGAATTGTATAAATCATCCCATTCAATTGAATACCCTATTAATTGTAATGTGAATACCCCATTGGTTGTGGTCATACTGGTTTTAGAAAGCACATTCTTCTGTACCTGGGAACCAGGACAGCACAATTATCCTAAATTGCCTCAGTGGCTACAGATAATGCGTTCCAGTTGACTCAGTGGTCCCAAGACCCGAGGGCTCTAGATAATGTGTCCCAAGACCCATGGCTCCAGGCAATGTGTTTCCGTTGATTCAGTGATCCGGAGACCCAAAACTATAATTTAACTAACATGCTCAATTCTGCTTCTGTAACTGCTTTTTTGCAAACCAGGTTCCTCATTCCAAACCCTGAGATGTAATCAATACCTTTGTGATTTTTTGCCTATATAAATCTGGTGTTGGGGCTAGGTAACTACTGTGAGAATTGGAGTGCATGGCCCCCTCGTAGTCCCGGATATGCAATAAATGTGACTCTTTAATTCGACTTCTTGAGGCGTCCTTGTGTGATTCGCGGGGTACATTACAACAAAACAACCTGAATAATTGAGAACACTTTGGTTATTCTGGACTATGATGAAAGAATACTGGAAAGATGACTGTAAATTCCTATAACAGAATTTTTTTTAAAAAAAAAGAAAAGGAACATGAAGTAGGAAACTGACCTTCTTGGAGAGATGTAAGGGATTGAAGCCTACATAATGAAGACAAAAATACCAGTATGTGCTGGAGTTTAAGGTGTCTTGCCAAGGGAACTGTGTCTTCTACCCTTCCCTACCTTAAGTACAATGACTCTGGGAAAACTAATCCCTCTGTGTCTATTGTTATCAGAATTTAGTCACAAGTTCACCATAATCATAGTGAGGAGGAATTAATGTTATTACTTCATTACTCCCATTAAAAAGTCTCAGGAGAAAAAAACATATTTGAACTATTCCAACTAAGAATAGACACCAGCTCAGCTGAGTTTTACCCATATCTTTGCCATTTCCTCAGGCTGTAGAAAAATTGAATTAATAAAAAAGTATCCATCTCTCACTACAGCTCTTGGTGAAAAAGCAAGGGGGGAAAAAACAAATATGTGCTTCTGGAGGGAGTCTTAAAGTTAACCATAATTTATCAGGGCAAATGGAATGTGTAGATTGAGACTCCCAAAAAGAAACAGAGAAACAAAATAGAGAATAAAGCAATCTTAACAACTAGGCCAACCTAAAAAAATAAAAAAAATAAAAAATGGGGGTGAGGGGAGAGGTTTGAAATAAGGGAGGAGAGAAAAGAAAGGAGGAAGAAAGAACTGGCCCATCAAAAACATTCCACATTCCACATGAATTAAAATATGGTTGTTTGCCTTTTACCAGCTTGATACAGACAAATATGTTGACTTTGAGAGTTATGTGTTGAAAATGGTAGAGCCACAAGATAGAAAGAGCCTGGGTTCTTGGAAAAGAAACTGGGTAGAAAGCTGCCCATTCTCAGGAACATCCATATAAGAGATAAACTTCTATCACATGTGAACCATTATAGAGTTTTTTTTTAAATTTCTTTGTTGTTGCAGCCAGCATTACCTTAACAAAAACATTCACTATGCATTGAAAAAAGGAGAAATTGAGCTCATGATAGATGAAACTATAATTCAATGATTAAAACAATAAAATGATATATAAAAAGGGAACCACAAAGTTACCTAGAAAACCAAAAACATTATTATGGAATTAAGTAAGTTAGGAAATACAAGAATAAACATTTCCGTTTTTCAAATTACTGACATAGATAAAAACATGATATAAACATAGTAAATAAGAAAAATAACAAAGATGGTAAAAATAAGTTAAAGAAATTCAACAGACAATACACCACAATGTTAACTGATAGAGAATACTACAAATAAAATAGAAAAATATATTTAAAATATAATACAAGAAATTTTTTAAATATGACAAAAATAAATTTTCTTTTCAAAAGATCATTTTTAAGAAAACTTTATCCTAAAAGCTTTTTACAAAGATATGCTGTAGTTAATCTGTAAAAGATCAGAAACAAAGATTTATTTATTTATTTATTTAATTTTATTTTAATCCTCACCCAAGAATATGTCTTTCTTTGATTTTGTCTTTTTGTTTTTTATTTTATTGATTTTAGAGAGAGAGGCAGGGAGAGCGAGACAGAGAGAAACATTGATTGGTTGCCTCCCATACAATACCCAACCAGGGATAGAACTGACAACCTTGGTATGTGCCCTGACCTTTTGGTATATTGAAGAAGCTCCAACCACCCTAGCCACCCAGCCAGGGCTAAAGATTCTTTTTAGATACCCAGGCAGAAGACATAAATCATCATCAGGAGCAGACTGAGAGTTCTCTAAGCATTATTTAATGTCAGAGACAATGACAATGACTTCAAAGTTCTGGGGGAAAAATAAAGTCCAAAAAAATGTTACCCAGCTAAAATATCCTTCAAGAACAAAGGAAACAAAATCTCACTTTTGGCATTGGTTGACAAACAATTTAGACCAACTCTCCTTCAATAAATAACAAGAAATATGGACAAAATAAATATATTATTAAATATCTCCACTGGAGATAAAGCCAAAAGTTGAGTGCACAGCTAAAAGCATAGAGTAAAGGGCACTACAAAGAGGTTAATCCTACATTGTGTCACTTTTCC